TCTTCCGCCTGACACCCCATGAGAAGCAGTGCATGATGTTCAGCGCCACTCTGAGCAAGGAGATCCGGCCAGTCTGCAGGAAGTTCATGCAGGATGTGAGTAGGGTGACACCCGCCTGTGGTGACCGTGACCTCAGCACAGCAGCTGCAGCCCTCCCCAGGGGCCTGGGCCAAGCCACGACGCCCAAGCTGCCCTCAGGGCACAGAGGATGCTGGGAGGCTGCAGAGGTGCCCGCCTTGCCCTGTTTTGTCTTGCTGGGAGCCAAGTGTGGTCCACTCCTGCGCCGACCTGGGCCTCCGTCCAGCTTTGGTAGCACGCTGTGCGGAGGTTCGGTGCCATAGGCTCTCTGGGAAGCACCACCACAAGGAGCTGCTGGCTGCAAGGTTCCGGGCAGGCACCGCGCCCCCCAAGTGAGCTCCGGCGCCCCTCCTGCTTCCCTCCCACACAGCCCATGGAGGTGTTTGTAGACGATGAGACCAAGCTCACGCTGCACGGCCTGCAGCAGTACTACGTGAAGCTCAAGGACAGTGAGAAGAACCGCAAGCTGTTTGACCTCCTGGATGTATTAGAATTTAACCAGGTGACGCCCTGCCTGCCTGCCACAGGCCAGACTTCTGGGTCTTGGAGTGGCACCTGGCTGACCATGTTCTTCCCCACAGGTGGTGATCTTCGTGAAGTCCGTGCAGCGTTGCATGGCCCTGGCCCAGCTCCTGGTGGAGCAGAACTTCCCCGCCATCGCCATTCACCGTGGCATGGCACAGGAGGAGCGGTGAGTGCTGGCCCGCCATGCAGCCAGGGAGCAGTGCCCAGAACAGGGCTGAGACCCTTGTGTGATGGCCTCCTCTTGTCTCTGCACCCAGCCTATCACGATACCAGCAGTTCAAGGACTTCCAGCGGCGGATCCTGGTGGCCACTAATCTGTTTGGACGAGGGATGGACATTGAACGTGTCAACATCGTCTTCAACTACGATATGCCCGAAGACTCAGACACTTACCTGCACCGGGTAGGGGGTCCATGGCCTGGTGTCTCCCACAGTGCCCCAGGAAGCTAGAGGCTGGGCACTTGGCCTGGATTATCCACTGCCTGACCACCTTCTGTTTCCTTCCAGGTTGCCCGTGCAGGTCGCTTTGGTACCAAAGGCCTGGCCATCACTTTCGTGTCTGATGAGAATGACGCCAAAATTCTTAATGATGTTCAAGACCGGTTTGAAGTTAATGTGGCTGAGCTTCCAGAAGAGATCGACATCTCCACATACAGTAAGTGGCCATGACAGAGCAACCTGGGGCTCTGGGACCAAGACCTGCCCTCACTACCTCCTCCTGTCTTCACAGTTGAACAGAGTCGGTAACCACGTTCCTGGAAGGCCATCGCCATCACGCCCTGCCTGCTTCTCCAGCCACAGACAAGTGTCTTTACTGTTGAAAAGCTGTAGATTTGTGTAACAATACATTTTTATTATGGAAGCCTGTCTCATTGTTTTTGTCTTTTTTGTTTGGTCTCCTAGCATTTCATAGGTGCCCCAAGCCAGGCTGGAGAGCCCCTCTACCAGGGAGCAGCACCACCTTCTGTATCAATGTGATATATTTAATTTTAAATGTGAACATTGAAAGGTTTACACAGACAACAAAATATCAACAACTTTTCACAATGTGAGGTCGCTGTGCCTTCATGCAGGCAGCCGCCTCTGTACCGTGAACTTGGGCATGGCCAGCACTCCGGCATGGCATCAGTCCTAGCTTAGGGAAGTTGAACCTGTGCTCCTCTTCTAGTCTGGCAGACAGCTGAAGACAAAGGGGCAGGTTGAGGCAGGGCCCTAGGTTTGTCCCCTGGTTTGGCTTGGCATATCAAGTCACAGCTGGGGTTGTGGCAAAGGCAGCCAGGAGCAGGTCCCTCCACCACTCCTGCTTCCTGCGTGCTCTTAGGTCAGGAGCAGCTGCTCTGTCTGCCCTCTGCACTGCAGGCAGCCTGAGGTGTAAGACTGCAGCACTGGGATAGGACAGGATGATGTCGGCGCACAAGCCTGGACTTCATATCCCGGACTCCGATGGTCTGAGGGCCTAGAGGAGAGGAGCCATGAGGCCTGAGCCGCCTGGGGCCCCCCCAGCACCCCATGCCCCAGGTTCAGCCCTTACCCGGGTCTGTTGGCTGGTGCTGCCAGTGGAGGAGGCGAATTCTGAGTACTTGTTACCGGTGACTGCGCAGGCCCACTTGCGGTACTCTGCCCTTACCTGTGATCAAGGCCAGGTCAGATCTGGGTGAACACCCACCAACCTGCACCCTACCACCCCGACACCATGGCCTCCATGCCTAACCTTCTTATTGAGCAGACAGTGCAGCAGGAAGAGGAAGGTGCCCTGTAGGCAGTTGAGCACTGTGAACACGTAGGTCAGTACTGTGTCGTGCCAGCTCTCTGGGCTGAAGAGGAACAAGCCGAAGCCCCAGGTGCAGCCCAGCACAAAGAGCTGTGCCACGGCAGTGATAGTCACCACCCTGCAGAGACAGGCAGCTATAGGGGGCCAGGTGCAGAGGAGACCCTGGCTTGGGGCCACCTTCCCACCAGCCCTCCTCACCTCGCCTTCCGCAATTTCTTCATATCTGGGTTAATCTCGGAAAACTTTTCTGTGAGCTTCCACACAGTAACCACAAAGATGATGGCATTGCACTGTGGGAACAGAAAGTGGTTAGAGGGGAGCATAGGCAGCAGCAAGGGGCGCAGGCAAAGGGGTACCTACCAAGATGACAAAAGTCAGCGGTCCCAGAAAGCTCCAGAGGAAACCCCGCTTCGGATCCAGCCAGCAGCTGGGAGGGGAAGGAGGCAGTGTCTGAAGCCAGGAGTCCCTACCAGCTATACCACCCCGCCCCATCCTCTCTGCAGAGCCACTTACTGGGCGGTGTGGCCATATCCTGAGCTGTTGGCCGCCGCCGAGATGGCCACGATGATCAGGGGTACGCCGTAGCCGATCAGGCACTGCCAGCGCGTGGCCAGGCCCTGGCCCTGGAATACGCGTACCACAAGGAAGTAGAGCTCTACACCCTCCAGACTCATCCAGCAGAAGGCAGCCAGGAAGAAGTAGTGCAGCAGTCCTGCCACCAGGCGGCAGCGCAGCCCCACCTGCGGGGGCAACGAGGGCGCAGAGGGGCGTGGTCCACGTTGGGGGCGGATCACGTAATCCAACCAATCCCCTGCCACAGGCCCCGAGAGGGTGGGGCCAGGCCCCTCTGGGCGTGCTCCCTGCACGTGCTGGAAGGGGCTGAGCGTGGCCTTAGGTTTTATGCTCCCCAAAAAACCGGAGACAAGAATGAGCGGGACAAGAATGGGGCGGGGCCGCACTCTGGGCTCGCTTTCGTTGGTTAGATGGAAGTAGGACGGAGTGAGGGGGTGGGGCCTACCTCGCCGCCTTCGTTCTCAATGCCCGCCAGGAAGACGGTGGAGCCCACAAAAAGGCAGATGCAGAGGTGTAGGTGCACGGTGGTACGCGAGCTCTGGATTGGCCGCACCAGCAGGAAGGTTATGATGCACAACAGCAGGCAGATGAGCGACACCGACAGCCCCACCTTGGTGATCAGGGTCAGCTTCCAGTCCTACGGCAGCCAGTGGGCGGGTGCTATAGTGGCTGGGCTTCCCCATTTGGTTGCGGAGGCCACAGTGCTGCTAGAATGGCTCTAGGGGGCCCTAGCGCTCACCTCCAACTGGTAGTGGGCCATGAGGACGGCGAAGCTGCTCAGGTGGTTACACTGGCAGGTGGTGCTGTTCTTCCCACTGCCCAGCCTCCGGCAGCCTGTGGTAGCCCAGTGTCCGTTTCCGCTGCTGTCATTCTTCCAGAAGGCACAGATTAGCTCTGTCCCAGGCTCCTCCGGCTATAGCGACACAGGGTTGTCAGAGTCTGGCCTGGTGCGCCCAGGGACTGCTGCTTACACGGTATTCTTTACTGAGTGTCCTAGGTGCGCCAGCCTTGGGGAGAGCTCGGTGAAAAGGGCAGGCACAGGTCCACCCTATGGGGCCATGGCAGTGTTGGGGACAGATGACATTGTAAACCTGACACTGGACAATATGCTAGAAGGCAGTGAATACCATGGAGAAAACAACAGGGGCAAAGGTTGTGGTTCCAGGTTGTCTTTTTTTTTTTTTCCTCCCGTTTTTGGGGTCTTTGTGAGACAAGGTCTCATAATACAGCTCAGGCTGACATTGAGGTTTTTGTTGTTTTTTTTTTTTTAAATGTATTTGGTTGTTGCCAGGGACCTCAGGATATGCTCACTAGTAGCACCGACTCAGGGTGATCCTCCTGCTTTCAGCCTCCCCAGTGCTGGGATTACAGGCGTGACACCACATCCCTACTCTGGCCAGCTTAGCCTGCCCCTAAGCTTGCCTAAACAGGCACTTTCATCCACTGTGCTATATCGTCGGCCCCCCTTGAACTCACTTTGTAGCCCAGACTGGTCTCGAACTCACACCAAGCCTCAGCCTCCTAAGTGCTGGGATTACAGGCACATGCCACCATACTTGGCCTCCTAGTTAGTAATTTTAAATGAGGAAGTTGGGAAAAACCTGGTGAGGCGATATTTGAATAAATACTGAAATATAAAGGACTACAGGATGTAGGGAGGAGATTCCAGGCAGAGGGGCACAGCAGTGCAAAGGCCCTGCGGCCCATTCGCTTGTCTGTGGAATGGACAACAGGGCCTTTCCCTTTCCTCCTGGAGACTCACACGGTGGGAGAACGCAAAGGTCACTGGAGAGGCCAGTTTGTCCGTGTTGGTGTTGCTCAGAAAGACAGAGTTGACAGCAGAGAGGAGCGTGGCCCGTGCCCCGTGGACAGGTCTCTCCTTGGCCTCTGTCAGCTGCACCAGCTTCTCGGGCTCCAGGGCCAGTGAGGCATTGGCCAGCCACTTCTCCATGTGCTGACTGGACAGCATGCCCACCACAGCATGGCCTGGGGATGGACATGCTGCCGCTGCATCGCATGCCTTTTGCTCTGTGCCCCAGATTCCCACGCTGAGGCGCCCCAATTCAGGCCCCCTCCTTCTGATGATGGCTTAGTTTCTTTTGGGTCCCACCCTGTCCCTCTCCATCTCCACCCCACCCCTCACTTGAATCCTCTGCTCCTGCTACGACAGCCCAGTCCAGCAGCATCCGTGCGTGGCCCTGGCCCGCAGTGACATTCCCGCTGCCGCTCTCCTTGACCACCAGGGACAGCTCTGAGGGGAGATTGCAGAGATTGGGGACAAAGTACAGGCCCTGGCAGGGTAGATAGGGCGGGTGGGCAGAGCCTCACCTGTTCCAGAAGGGGATGAGTAGGTGAGGCTGCCCTCGGGCAAGGCCTGGGCCAGGGACCTCAGGATATGCTCAAGGTACGAGAGCAGCCAGGTGGCGACCCGGTGCGTGTCTCTCTGGGAGAGGTTCTTTATGTCCCCAGGGGCTTCCAGCAGCCCATCCACGACCCCAACAAATTTCTGGAAGTGAAGGGTGACAGATGTTAAGATTACAGAACCACATCCTGGATTCATTACTGTCATGCAGCAGCCAGGACATAAGAAAGGACAACAAGCTTGTGCCTAGGGCACTTGGGGCACAGCATCCAGCCAGACTTACTACCTGCTATAGTAGCAGTTTCTGACTGAGCTGTGTGGGGCCAGCTTGGCCACTTGGTGAGGTCTCAGAAGTTGTGCAGACCTGCTCTGAGGTAAAACATACACATCAAAGCCAGGCACAGTGGAGCATGCCTGTAATCCCAGCACACAGGAGGCTGAGGCAAGAGGACTGCCACAAGTTTGAGGCCAGCCTCTGGGCTACACAGTCAGTCCAAGGCTAACATGACCAATATAGCAAGGCCCTGTCTCAAAAAAGAAAATATTGGGGCCGGGGAAATAACTCAGTAGAGTAAGCACTTGCCTGGCAAGCGGAAGGGCTTGAGTTCAATCCCCAGTACCCAAAGCCATGCCAGCCACAAAACCAGGCATGGTGACCCACACCTATAATCCCAGTGCTGGGGAGGCTGAGACAGGAAGATCACTACGAGTCTAAACTGCATAGTGAGACCCTGTATCAAATAAATAAAGAAAATATCTAGGCTTGGTGTGGTGGCACACCTGTAATCCCAGCACTCGGGAGGGTGAAGCAGGATCATTGCAAGTTTAAGACCAGCCTGGGCTACAAAGTGAGCTCAAGGTCAGCCTGAACTGCATAGTGAGACCTTGTCTCAAAAAGACAAAAAAAAAAAAAGGGGGCTGGTGAGATGGCTCAGTGGTCTAAAGCACCTACCTCGAACAAGCTTAGCAAAGCACAGGGACCGTGGTTCAATCCCCCAGCACCACATGCCAGCCAACCCCGCCCCCTGGTGGGCTGAGCTGGCCACACACACACACACAAATAAATAAAACCACACACACACAAATAAATAAAATTTAAAAAAAAAAAAAGAAAAGAAAAGAAAAGAAAAAAGAAAAAGAGGGGCTGGTGAGATGGCTCAGTGGTCTAAAGCACCTACTTGGAACAAGCTTGGTAAAGCACGGGGACCGTGCGTGGTTCGATCCCCCAGCACCATAAGCCAGACAGTCCCACCCCCAGGTGGGCTGAGCTGGCCACACACACACACACACACACACACACAAATAAAATTAAAAAATTAAAAGAAAAAGAAAGAAAAAATCTGAAAATTATTCCATGTTGAAATGGGTAATATTTTGTTTTTGGTTTTTAATTTTATTTATTTATTTATTTATTTATTTTGTGTGTGTGGCCAGCTCAGCCCACCAGGGGGCGGGGCCAGCTGGCATGTGGTGCTGGGGGATTGAACCGTGGTCCACTGTGCTTTGCTTGGCCCAGCTTGTTCTAAGTAGGTGCTTCAGACAACTGAGCCATCTCACCAGCCCTGAAATGGGTAATATTTTGGACCTGTTGGATTATATTTTTCTTTATACATTTTTCTATTGGGCTAAAACCTCCTTAATTACGCTGTTCAAGTTCCAAGTTCATACAACAGAGCCTCTATTCTATCAGTTGGGTTCATGAAAACTTGCCACTGACTACCAGTGAGGCACAATTTCCCTGCTGCATTACGGATTTGGAAATGGGCCTAGAGAAGGGAAGTCTTTCACTTTAGCTCGCACAGCAAAAGTGGCACTGAGATTTGAACTCTGTGGCCCAGATCTGGTTTTGTTTCCCCTTTCCAGTACTAGGCACTGAATGCAGGGCTTTTGCACTGAGCTACCTCTTCACCTACTTCTTCAGACAGGGAATCCTTGAATTGCTAAGTAGCCCTGACTGGGCTAGAATCTGTGATCCTCCTGCCTCAGTCTCTCTAGTTGCTGAGATTATGGGAGTGCATATCACACCAGAACTGATTCTTTTTTTGTGGAACCGGAGATTGAACTCACGTCCTTGAGCTTGCCAGACAAGAGCTTATTCTACTGAGCCATCTCCCCGGCCCTGAGAACTCTGATGCTTCTCTGTTCCAGTCTGCCGCTTTTATTACCCTCGTGTGTGCGCGCGCGCGCGCCTGGGTAGCAGCATGTATGGGTGTGCCTTAGACACACGTGTCACACTCCAAGTCCCGCCTTGGTTGAGGACTGTTTCCACCACACCCAAGCCTCCCACCTCCCATGCTGTCCTGGGTGTCCCCTGGGTTTCGCCTTTACCTTGATGATCTGCTCAGCTGCTTGGGACTTCAAGTCTCGACTCAGACCCTGGACTTTGTCAAGGAAGGCTGAGAGGTTCTGCAGGAGGGTACATAGGCATCAGCCAACCTTGAGGGTTGGGAGGTACAGGGCTAAGGAGTGGGCACACATCTGTGGATGCGGGTTCCACCCTCTGGTCTGCTGGGGTGCTTACCTTGCTGGAGATCCCAGAGGGCAGGCGCCAGACAGGGAAGGGGATCTCTGCAGGGGAAAGACAGGGCTCATGAAACAGTTTTGTGGGGGTCAGATAGCAGGGATCTTAGGGTCAGGTCACGCCAGATACCTTGGCAAGTGGTATTCTTTGGGCCATTGCGGAACCCAGGCATTGGCTTCCAACCTGGCCGGCAGCGGCACCTATATGACCCCACGGAGTTGACGCAGGTGGTAGAATTGTGGCACTCATGCTGCCCAGTGGCACACTCATCCACCTCTGGGGACACAAGCAAGGGGGTCAGGCCCTGTACCAACCCAAACAGGATCTGTCTTCTCCCCATTCCTTCTGGACAGTATGTCCCGCCTTAGCTGGAGGTGCTGCCACCTGGTGACCTCACATCCTGGAGGGGTGGGCACTGGGTCAAGGAAGTGCAGAGAGGGGTCGCGTCCAGAAGGCTGGCCGTGCAGGTGTGCAGGTTGTAAAAACACTCCACGTCTTTCCTCCCAGTTAGTGCTTAGGGGCCACCCAGGGCCACCCAGAAGCCTCGCTGGAGCCCCAGGGTCTTTCCTCATCTAGCCTCAGAAGACCAAGTGCCTGGCACTGAGGACTCCGCAGTACTGGTTCTACTTGATTAAGTGACCGGGTATTTGCACCGCAGGTTTTGAGACCCTGGGCTTGTGGCATCTGAGCTCGGACCTTCACATATGGTGTCGGGAGGACCATCGCGGGATCCGGGAACTGGCTTCCATCCACGCCGGCATTTGCACTGAAAACTACCGGCAGTGTTGATGCAGTGGGTGGTGTTGTGGCATGGTTTCTGTCCAGACATGCATTCATTCACATCTGAGGACAAAGCCAGGCCATCAGACCCAGTCTGACTGTCTCACACCTGCCCCCCAACTCAGCACCCCCTGCCCACTTGTCACAGCCCCAAGCCGAGGAGGATCTTTCTTGCATGTGCCACCACCTGGTGACCTTCAGCTTCACCTTCAGAGCACCTTGTGGTGGCCTCGCTACATGGAGGGCACTGCAGGGAGTATCTTCATTTTTAAAAAGAGAAACGGAATGCAGGCAGCTGGGCTTCCTGAACACAAGTCCTTGCTCCTGCCTGGCCATGGCAGAGGCTACCCTTCTCAGGACTGGAAGTGACATTTCCTTCTACTCATACATGATCAGGAGGAAGTGGCGACATCTGCAGGACTCCTCTGGGCACCCTATGCCCCCAAGTCCTTGCCCTTCTCTGTCCCTGGATGAGACCTTCCAGGAAGCACTGTGGGAACTGCCACTCTCCACCCTCCTCAGCACAGGTCCTGCCTGGACACCTTCCCAGCTCCTTCCAGCCTCATGCATCTTCCCTGGGCCTCTACCTGTGCACTGCCTTGGGCCTTCCGGGGTGAACTTGAACCCTGGAGAACAATTACAGATGGATTTGCCTTCACTAGGGCCCTGGCAGGTGCTGTGGTCCTGTGTTGGCTGGTTCACATCTGGAAGAAGAGGGGAGGGCACTGCAGCTGCGGGCAGCTTCTTTGCTGGGAGCTGGCCAGGCTTCCTGGCACCAAAGCATCCGGAGGACTCCACCGTCTCTTCCCTGGGCTGTGGCGCCTTTTCCAGTTCTCACCAAGGCAATCCACAGTGAGTATGGTGGTCTGGACTCTGTTGTCCAAATGCAGGGAGACACTGCTGAGTCGTCCCAGCCCCAGCCCTTTTTGCCGCCCCATGCAGCTCCCAGCAGTGGCAGGGGCGTCACCACTTGTGTCCCAGCCTGAGGATTTGGAGCTGAGCCCAGATGGGCCTCACGAGACCAGAGTGCAAGGGAGATCCATGTTCCCAAGCAGCCTGTCTTGGCTCCAAGTGGTGGCCTGTGACCTCATTCCATCTGGGCTCCTGTCCCATGCCTGAGCACCCCTTGGAATTTTCGTGACCTTTCAGGACAGCACTGTCATCCCCACTAGCTCCATGGAGGTGAACAGAGATGCCCTGAGTCAGGGCCCCCAAGAGTCTCAACTGCCGGGATAGGAAGCAAGGATGCCAGGCCAGGGTCCAACCAGGTCCTCTCCATGAATCCCCAGAGGCAGCTGGTGGTGACAATCCGCATTCCTGCCCTGGGCCAACTCCAGGCAGCCAGGTCAGAATCAGGTGCTGATGGGGTGTCAGCGTCAAGCCATTCAGCCATTTCTGCGTCGCCTCCCACCAGGATGCAGACCTGGGGCCTGGCTGCCATCTCTGTCCCCTTGCAGCTGCCCTCTTCCTGTGGTCCAGACTCCAGTGTCATCCTCTACCCAACTCATGTCATGTTTGAGGCCTTGAGACCACCCCACCTGGCCTGGCCCAGCCTCTTCCTGCACCCCCCAGCTGGACCAATGGCTGAGGCTTTGGGATGGGAACCTGAGCACATGATGTGGGGACTGCGTGCCTACCCTCTATCCTTCTTCCCGAGGATCCAGCTTGAGTCCTTGGATCCATGGTGACTGGAACTTCAGGGAAATTTGTAGGCACAGCTGAGCCTAAAGTGGCAGGCGTCGTTGTTTCTGGGAATGGGAAGAAGTTGCCAAGCTCGCTGGAATGTGCGTTCCTGAGCATCCTAGGCACCACCCCTTCCTGTTTATGCAAATTAGATGCAAATAGATGGTACGTTCTGATCTCCTAGAAGTGGAGGGTTCTGGATCTTGGGGAACCCACAGAGAAACTATGACAGATGACTTTATGACATCCAGAGAAAGTATTAGCCACCATGGGGTTATGACACAGGTAGATATGTCCTTCAGTGATGAGATAGGGCCTTAGGTGTTAGGTACCGCTCAAATTTAGCACACTCCTCTGTGTCACCTGCTGTGAGGCTCAGGGGCCATGTCACCTTACCCTGCTCATGTAATTCTGTGCCTAGCCACTACTTTCGCCACCCATGCTGGCTTGTTTCTAACACGGCAGCATTATCAACCTCACTACGCAGTCCTGAGGGCTTGGGCCATGCTGAGTATCCAGGGTCTCCATGGACCGCTGTGCTGCTTGCGTACTACGCGATGTTACTGGTCCACCAGGATATTGGTCCACGGTCCATCTGTGTCCACGTAGAGAGAAGGCCCTTTTCCTGATTTAGGACCTGATTTAGGCCAGCAGTGTGGTAGACAGAGCACCCCGGTAGACAGAAAAGGTGTGGTCCCCTTTTCTGCTGTCTTCTGCTGTCCTTGTGCAAGCACAGCAGGAGGGACGGGCCTAGGATGTGGGCTGCAGCTCCTCTTGGACCCTTGGCTCAGCTTCAGCCTCCCTTCCCTGACCTCCAAACTCTACATTAACTCCTCTTTGTGTGACACGCAGGAAGCGAGTTCCCCGTGGGCATGACCAGTACATGTATGGCAAGACCACAACTAGAATCAGCCCTGCAGCCCCTCTGACCATGCCCCGGGGGTGCCCATCCAGAAGAAGCCAGATCTTAAGACTTGAGAAATTCTCTGTGGTGAGCTCTTGACAGCGTGCATGAGATCCTGGGCTCCGCCCCTGGCTCCACAAGAATAAATACAGGACGTCCCTGGGCCATCGCTAACAGCACTTGCCACGAACCTTCAGTGGCGCAAGGCCTTCAGATCGTATTTACCTTCCCAGAAATGTGTGTGTGTGCACGTGCATGCCAGAAATCAAACTCACAACCTCATACTTACCAAGCAGGTGCTGTGCCACTGAGATATACCCCCGGCCCTACCTTTCCAGCAATTCTATGAGGCAAAAGCCACCATTCCTTTTTATAGATGGGTAAAGGGAGGCACAAAAAGAGCAAGTAACTGTCTAAGAATAGAACAAAAACGAAGGTACCGTTGCCAGGCATGGTGGTGCACGCCTGTACCCCAGCTCTCAGGAGGCTGAAGAGGGAGGATTGCGAGTTTGAGCTCAGCACCGGAAACTTAGCAAGACTCTGCCTCAAGAGTGAAAAAAGAGATGGGGCTGGGGGGAGAGCAGGTGTAGCTCAGTTCTGGGCCACAGGTTCCGTACCCAGAATTTAAAAAAAAATAAAAATAAAAATAAAAATAAAGACTCCTTTTTCCCTCTTTAGAGAATCACAGTATCATCATGTCACTCAACAGAGTTCCTGTGAAGCTAGCGATGTCACTCGCCCTCCCCTAAACCAGCCTGCCACTCAGTGCAGGCGCACAGGTACATGCACACCTGTTCCACCTCAGACATCAGGCACCAAATCCGTCACCGGGCCCAGCCTCTGGCTGCTGTGGCTCTGGCGCCGCCAACCTCAGCGAGGGGAGGCGTGGGACGCGGGGAGGTCCTTACCATGGCATGTGTTCTCACTCAGATTCATGAACTTGGTAGCTCCAGTCTTGAGCTTATATCCCGGGCTGCACTCACAGTAGTAGCTCCCCACTGTGTTCTTGCAGTCGGCAAACGGCCCACAGTTCACACTGTTCGGAGGCACACACTCGTTGATGTCTGGAACACAGCAGGACAAAGGGTCAGCTCCCGTCCCCCGCACAGGGCCTGAGGATGGGACTGAGTGCTGCGGGAGGAGCCTGGGCTTGCACTGCGGTGGCTGTGCTGCAGCTGGAGAAGGCCGTTCCTGAAACCCACACAGTCCATTCTTTTCATGCCGGCGCCCTGGCTGACACCCCAGATTTGGACACAGGGCACAGTGACAAAGCGAGGGACAGGCAAGAAGCTCAGCACTCCTCTCAGTCTTAAGGACAGCTTGAGGCACAGACTCACAGGATCTGAGTCCTGCTTTCTCTCTCCAGAAAGACACTTTCATGCTTCTTACTCCTCCTCTTCCTTCTCCTCCTCTCTCTTCCATTCACACACTGGGGATTGAACCCAAGGAGCGCCTAACTACACTTCCAGCACTTTTTACATTTCCTTATTGCGAGATACGGTTGGTTTTTTAATTAATTTTATTTTATTTTTTTTAATCTTTTTTTTTAATTATGTGTGTGTGTGTGTGTGTGTGTGTGTGTGTGTGGCCAGCTCAGCCCACCAGAGGGCACGGCTGGCTGGCATGTGGTGCTGGGGGATTGAACCGTGGTCCCTTTGCTTTGGCTAAGTTTGTTCAAATAGGTGCTCTAGACCACTGAGCCATCTCACCAGCCCCTTAATTAATTTTATTGAGAAACAAATAGCAATGTGACAGGTCAGTAGGCTACTAACAGGTGAGTAGGACAGTTACAATAATTAATACATTGACGTGAGATACAACTTTGCTAAGTCACTGAATTGCCTAGGCAGCTCCAACTTGCGGTCCTCCTGCCTCAGCCTCTCAGAGAGCTAGATTACAGGCGCACATCAACATTAACATCTCTTCTCAAGGAGACCATGCTGAGGTTTCCACTCAAAGCCTGTGCTTTCCAATTCTCCCTATGTTCCCCTGCCTCCCCCACACATGCCTGCCCGTCCCAAGCCTCTACCATCACAACTGTCCGTGATGCTGATGTGCTCAGGTGAAAATCCAGCTTTGCAGACACAGGAGTTGTTGAAACATGTGGAGTTGTCAGGGCAACGCAGGGTACAGCCTAGGAGAGCAGAGAGCACAGTCAGAGGGGAGGCCCCAGCCTGGAGTCTCTCCTACAAGCTCCCCTGTCCCTGGGCTCAATGACCCCCAGGCTCCACTGCAGGCCACACGGCCCAGCCAACTCACCCATGTTGTTCTGTTCTCTGGCTTCTGACAGGCTCAGCAGAACACACAGCACTGTAAAGTGACAAAGCAGGGTCAGCAGGGCTGGGTGGGGAAGGAGCTCTGGGGGAGACGCAAGATAAGCCTGGGCCGCCCCCTCCTGAGCTCAGGGAGGGCAAGAAGGTGACTCTGTCCCACCTCCAGGGTGGAATCAGGAACAGAGAAGGGAAAGCCTGAGCCAGATGTGGGGACAGGGGTGGTGGTCATGGCTCAGCTGCCAGCTCTCCTGGCCTATGCCTATGTGCTGGAGCCTCAGGCTGGAGGATCGTAAGTTCAAACCCAGCCTGGACAACTTAGCAAGACAGCCTCAAAATAAAATTTAAAAAAATAAATAAATAAAAAGGGGAGTGGGATAGAGCTCAGCAGCACAGCACCTGCCTGGCAAGCACAAGGTCCTGACTTTGATTCCTGATACCAAAAATAAATAAAAAGGGCTGGAGATGAAGCTCAGTTTGAGGCCTTGGCTTCAATCCTCAGACCATAAAACAAAAAACAAAACCAGTAGCCTCTGGGCCAGCACTATCCCAGCTCCCCAGCTTGGTTCTCCAAAGCTCTGGCCTGCCCTGCCCTGCCCCGCCCTCAGAGTCCTGCACACCTGCCCCCTCCACCACCAGAGGAGTCCCAGAGCTTCCCCTGGGACCCAGGAAGACACTGTGGCCACTACAGGCTCAGCCTGAGACCCCTGCTGCAACCCCCACCAGGGCCTTAGGATATAACCATGTCCCTGCCAGCACTGGGGCAGAACCTCAAGGACCCCAATAAGCCTGGGAGTCCTGGATGGCAGTATGGGCTAGGCCAGGCCTGTGAGTCACTTCCTGGGCCAAGGGGAGGTGATCTCCTGCCCCTGGGGGTACTCAGACCCTAGTTTCAGTACTATGCAAGCATGCAGTTTGCAGTTGTGGAGCTGCAATGGGGGTCCCTCCGCACTCATCTGTATCTAAACTCAGGGTACTTGGAGTACCCCGAACCTTACCCCTCCCTGTGGGGATAAACTCAGGCTGGAGCACCAAGCCCACAGCCTCCCTAGCGCCCACAGCCCTGCTTGCTTCCTCCTCCCTGGCCACAGGTCCTGGCCAGCCCCCCACACACTTCCTCTTCCAGGGACCACAGTGACCTCGGGCTGGATTCTTCAATGTCCCCAAAGCCACAAGCAACGCCTTTCAGGCTCCACAGTACCCAGCAGACAGGGTCTGTATTTATGGAGAAACTGAGGCCTGGAGGATCAGGACACATGGCATAGACAGAGGGGCCTGGAGACAATGGATTTCAGGGACACAGTCCCAGCCTGGGAGGGCTCCCTGGCAACCCCGACAATCAGCTGGGGCTGCCCCTCCCGTCCCCAAGCCACCAGGCCTGGGTGTCCACATCTGGGGACTCGGAATTCAGCCAAACAGGAGCTGGAGCAGGGCTGCTGGCCATCCGCTCCCACATCTGCTTCTCATTGTCAGCAAGCAGGAAGGGCCCTGCCTGGGGAAACTGGGGCGTTGGGGGTGCTGCCTGTTAAGGACCCCAAAGCCCTAGCACCAGACTGAAGGGAATTCACCACCATAACAACAGTGACCTACTCTGGGCTATAAAACCATCCTATAACATGGAGGCCGGCCTTGTTCCTTTTTATCTGGAGTTTTGGCACTAGAGTGCCCTGCCACTGAGCCACGCCCCCAGCCCCTTCCTAGGTAGTCCCAGGCTGGGAGATTGGGAGTGTGGTACCGTACCCAGTGCAACCCAGCCCAACCCAGCCGGGCGTGGCTCCATTTCACAGCTGAGGACAACAGTGCCCCGGGCTCTATCACTTGGCCCCAACACAGCTGGCCAAGCCTAGGCAGCTGTCCTCCAGCAACTGTCCCCACGTGGCTTCTGTCCCCACTCCTGAGTAGGGGGCACTATGCTGCCACCTGCCATGGAAGCCTGGGCCCGGCCCAGCGAATCTATTCCCCTAGTGTCATTTCTCCACTCTCTGTGGTGCCTGTTGCTCAGGCAACGGTGGCCCTATAACCTTTTGTGCCACACTGGGTGTGGCAGGGAGGGGAAGTGACAGCAGTTAGGGTTTTTTTTTTTTTTTTTTGAACAGTTAGGTTTAGCTCAGCTAAAATCCCGCCAGCACGGTCCAGTCCCAGCCGGCTTCTAGGGAACCGAGTGCACTGCGTCCAGATCGCCCGGGAGATGGTGGAGATGGGGTGGGGTGCCCCCAAGCGCCGGGCGGACAGCAGCCGCCGGTCCCGCCCGCTCTACAGTACGTCCGCGTACCGCAGCATTAGCCCTCGCTCTGGGCCTCTGTTCTTTCCTTTAATTTTTGTTAGAGAGTTTGGCTGAGTTGCCCAGGCTGGGCTCACATTTGCGATTCTCCAGCCTCCGGCTCCCGAGTGCCGGCACGACAGGCTTGTGGCTCCCTCCACGTCCTGCTTGCTCTCTTTCTTTTCCCCGAACCTCGGTTTCTCCTCCAGGGGCGCGACCTCTACGCGGCCTCCGCAAAGCCCGCACCCGAGCCCGCACAGGGGCGCAGGTTGTCTGCCCCGGCCACGCGGCCCCCAAGAGTCCCGCTCCGGCCCCGCGCGGGCTACAGTTCCTACCGAGCAGCAGGCGCGGCGCTTCCATGGCTCAAGCCGGCTGGGGACGCTGGGACAGGGACGCGGCTGACCCGGCGCGCGCGAAGGATCCTGGAGCGGCGGCGCCAGCGGGGTTTTATGGAGAGGGAGGTGCCAGCCCGCCCCGGAACCCCGGGGGCGGGAACACGTGGGCCCGGGCGACAGTGCCCAGACCCACAAAGGGGAATTAGCTCTACTGGCCAAGGGCGCCCTGCAGCCGCTAGCGCGGGAGAGTCGAGACCTTCCTGACTCTGCCTGCGTGGGTGCATGAGGAAGGAGGGATTTTCGGCTGGGTTTGCCTGGCTTATATCCTCGGTGGGTGGGGACTAGCCAGGGGGTAGTGCAGTGCTTGCGTAGGACCCCAGCACTGGGGAGGCTGAGGCAAGAGGTTTCAAAGTTGGGCCTTGCTGGAACTTGTTTCAAAATAAAAAATAAAAATGCGCCCATGTGACTTAGTCGCAATGATCCTGGGTTCAATTTTCCATTGCTGGAAAAGATAGGGAGGGAGGGAAAGAGAGAGGAAGGACAGAAATGACCCAAGTCTCCTTGAAGCGTTGCCCTGTGCTCCTGCTTGGGAGGCTGGCCCTCCTTTTCACCAGGGAAATTAAGGCAGCAGGGCTGGGGCTGCAGCCTGCATGGCGGGATGGACATGCACAGTCCGTGGTGTCTTCCCAGCGCGCCGAAAAAAAAGAAGGAGTCAGAACTGGCAGCAGTTTTAAGGTAACATGGGAACCACATTAATCAGCAAGGAATCAGAGGATAGGATCCGGGGAGCCCCAGGCCTCAGCCATGCTAGGCAAGCACTTTACTAATGAGCAACACATCCAGCCCTTCTCTAAATTTTACAAGATATAAAAAGATTTTTTAAAATTACAAGATATTCGTGCTAAGTTGCCTGAAACTTGCAATCCTCCTGCCTCAGCCTCCTTAGCAGCTGGGATTACAGGTGTGTGCCACCTTGCTGAACTGAGTTAGGCCTCTTTCTGCTGGCAGCTGCCCCTACCCCCAGGTGGGCAGGTCACACGGTGACCCTACCCATCCTGCCCTGGCCTTGTTGCTCCTCCCTTTCCCCTTACCTCAGAGCTCCAGCCTTCCTTGTGGAAACCAGAAATACAGTGACCCCAGGCCCTCTGTACAAGCGGTCCCCTCAGCATGAATCTTTCTCCGACAGCTTCCTCTCTTTCATTTTTCAGATTTATGTTCAAACATCCTTTGATCCACCCCTCATGCAAAATGTAAGACGTCACCCTGACCACTCCAATCTTTCTGCTTTTTAAATTAAAAAAATTTGAGACAGGGTCTCACTATGTAGTACAGGCTGTCCTTAAACTCATTATGTAGCCCAGTCTGACCTCAAACTCACAGTGACACTCCTGCCTCAGCCTTCCAAGGGCTGAGATCACAGGTGTGTGTCACCACACCAGGCTCCAGCTGCAGTCTTGATTGCTATCTCTGGACTGGTTCTGTGAGGGAGGCAGTTGGCTTCCAGGGATGGTCAGTTCTGCCTGCAGGGACACAGCCTCAGCATGGTGACCTCATCTGGGTGATCTATTCTGGATTCAGAAGTGACTGCATGTTTAAGGCAGCAGCTAGAGACGCCTTATGTGGGCTGGGGACAGCGTGTCACAAGTTGGCAATCAGATGCCTCTGAGGATCCTGAACATGGACTCAGGTCCCCTCATCTTGGTCTTGAAATTTAGGGCTCCAAACCTTGTGTTGCTAGGTTGGTTTTTGTTGTTGTTATCATTTATTTATTTATTTGGTACAGAGTCTCACTACACAATTTGGACTAGTAGTAATCCTCTTGTCTCAGCCTCCCCAGCGCTGGGATTACAGGCGTGTGCCACCGAGCCCAATTTCAGTGGCCCACACAGCATGTGGTACCAGGGATCAAACCCTGGTCCTTGTGCTTGTCAGGCAGGTGCTTAGACCACCCAGCTATCTCCCCAGCCCTTGTATTACTAGATTTATTTATTTATTTACGGAACTGGGGATTGAACTCAGACCCTTGCACTTGCCAGGGCAGCGCTTATTCCACTGAGCCATCTCCCCAGCCCTGTATTACTGGTTTTAGACACACACTCTCTTAGTGATTAACACACCCGAGTGCAGTGCTGGGCAGGGCCTGATCCAAGTTCAAGGTAATAAAGGCAAGAGACCCCAAATTGAAAGGAAAAGCTGGGTATGGTGGTGTATACCTGTAATTCTAGCACTTTCGGAGGCTGAGGCAGGAGAATAGAAGGTTCTAGCCCAATCTGGACAACAACAAAAAAAAAACAGCAACAGCATATGGTATGGGGATTGAACCTTGGTCCCCTGCAGCTGCCTATGCTTGCCTAAGCAGGCGCTTTAGACCGCTGAGCCATCTTGCCGGCCCCCAAACAAACTTTTTAAAAAGTGCTGGGGATGCAGCTCAGCGTGAGGGCCCTGGGTTCAATTCCTACTACTACAAAAATAAATAAAGAAGCTGAGGCAGGAATATCGCCATGAGCTCGAGGACAGCCTGGGCTACCTAGTGCTTTTAAGGTCAGCCTGAACTAGTAGTGAGACTCTGACTCAAAACAAAAGGAGGAGGCAGAGATGCCAGTCTCTATCCGGCTTCAGTTACCCACGGGGCATCTCCAGTCCTTGTCACAAGAGCACCCCTGAGTCGCAGGTCCTGGGTGGCTCTTTGGTGGGTGAGGTGGCTTTTCTGGGCTCTAGTTGAGAGACCCACGGCACCCGCACAGCCTGGGGTCATATGGGATCTCAGGCGGACGGAGGGGTCATAACAGGATGCCCGGCTAGAGACAATGACAGAGGAAGGGGCGGGCAGCCCCATGCGGATGAGCCCCCAGCCGACTCCGGCTCCGGCCAGGCGGCCTTGCTATTGTCAGTGAAGACAGCTGTCCCCGCCAGGAAGCTGGCCAGTGTGTGAGGCCGGGACAGGCAGTCCTCACCCAGGCAGCCCACAGCGGGCCTGGGTTTCCCTCTGTGGGCTGCACCCTTGGGTTCCCTGGACTGATTCCCCGACCCCCACCCCTGGGCACAGAGCCCCCCAGCCCCCCAGCAGCTCCCACTCGGCCCAGGGGACTCGAGGTTTTTAGAGTGACCTGGCAGAGCCAAGCAAGTGGTGAGCAGCAGAGAAGCTACGTGGAGGTCGCGCCTCAGTGGAGGGGGCCCCGCGGGCGCGGGCTGGTGAGTCTCCAAAACACTCCAGCCTCCACATCTCCTGGGCTGTAGTCACACAGGTCTCCGTTGCAGACTGAGGGTACAGAGCCCTGGGCGTGGTGCCCCGCGGCTGTCATCCCAGCGTTCAAGAGGCTGAGGCAGGAGGACTGCTGTGAGTTTGAGGCCAGCCTGGGCTACACAATGAGACCCTGTCTTAAAAACTACAACATGGGGCCAGGGAGATAGCTCAGTGGCTTAAGTGCCTGCCTGGCAAGTGCAAAGTCCTGACTTCGATCCCCAGTACCAAAAAGAAAACAAAAAGACAAACAAAACTACAACAGGGCCAGCCAGACAGTTCAGCAGGCTAAAGCACCTGCTTAGGCAGAACCCAGCAGCCGAATTTTGGATCCCGGTGCGCCATGCTGCCCCCGCCCCCGAGCAGTCTGTGACAGCGATCAAGACTGGGCATGCGTGGTGTCCCGTGCCTGTAATCCACGTGCTTGGGAGGCTGAAAACAGGAGAATCACTACAAGTCCGATCTACGGAGACCCTGTAGACTCTGTAGACCCTGTGCCAAATACATTAAAAAAAACAACTACAACAAAGAATAGAGACACACAGGTGAGACGAAGGAGCCCCCACAGCAAGAAAGCAAAAATAAAAGCAAAGCTGGGCGCCACTTTACCCTTGTAACCCCAGCTCTGGGAAGCTGAAGCTGGAGGATCTCAAGTCGGAGGCCAGCCTAAGCTACATGGTGAGGCTGTCTCTAAACATAAAAAAAAAAAAAAAAATGGTGGGGGATGGGTAGCAAGGCTTCAAACCGCGGAGGGGCAAACTGGCCGGGTTCCCAGGCCTAGAGGCAGGGCACGCCTGGGTGCCTAGTCCCACATCTGGTTTTGCATCCTTTCCCCCCACCCGTGAAGGTGACAGAAGGGGCAGCGCTGTGACTGTGATGTTCTTGGCTTCTAAGAAACGAAACCCTTCAGGAAGCTACTGGGGCACCCCTGAACCCCAAACAAACTGCAGCACCTAGCAACATACTTCCCCTTCCATAGGGCACAAGCTCACTGGTGGCCCCAGCTGGGCTGTGACGTGGGGTGGGACTATAAATAAACCGAATATAAGCAGCTGCAGGCACCGTGGCTCCAGCTTCTCTCTCCAAACTCTCAGTCCGTGGGTCACCAAGATTGTGGGGCAGCGAGGGGAGCTGGGAGGGGGATGTGCTGCTGAACAGGACAATGGCAAACGAATGTTTTGTTTTGATGAATTCTTGCTACACAGTCCATGCTGGCCTTGAACTCAGCAATCCTCCTGCCTCAGCCTCCCAAGTCCTAAAGTCAATGAAATTTTCAATGACTTTTAAAAGTTTTTTATTATTATTATTTTTGTGGCACTGGGGCTACAACCTGGTATCTCACACATGCCCAGTGCATTCTACTCCCAGCACCTGCCAATGGTTGACAACACAGGTGCTGAGACTCCACAGAAATGCTCCTATTGCCTGAGCAGTACATAAAGTGATTGGAATAGTATATAAGCGTGAAAAGGAGTGGTGGTGGGGGTGACAGGTGGTTGGGTCTCCACAATACATTCTGTGGAGGGCTTGGAGCTATGGCTCAGTGGCAGAGCAAGTGCTTCATATGACAAACTACAGCATGGATGAAAGGAAAGAAGGAGAGAAAAAAAAGGAGGGAGGGAGAGAGGTGCTGGGTGTGGTGGCACACACTTGTAATCACAGCACGTGGGGGTAGAGGCAAGAGGACTGCAACTCTGAGTCTAGCCTGGGTAACTTGGGAAGTTAGATAGACTTTGTCTCAACATAAAAAATAGGGGCCCAGAGGGCTGGTGAGATGGCTCAGTGGTCTGAAGCACCTACTTAGAACAAGCTTAGCAAATCCCAGGGACCCCGGTTCAATCCCCCAGCACCACATG